GAACTCTGAGACCATCCTCCCTAAACCGAGAACCCCCAAACCCAGAATCTCAAGAGGGGCTAAAGGAGGGGCCTTTGTAAGGGACCTTAGGGGTTATTGAGGGGTTATTCAGGGGCTACTTAGGTATATAGGGACCATATAATAAGAGGGGTAACTGCTTCGACCCCTTAAGAATCACTCTCGGGATTTTCGGGGTAGTGGCATGGTCCCTGCGTATGGGCGCTTAAAGGGGGGCCCCTGATATACCCCTTATATAAACCCTCTAAACCACCAGGGCCCATACTTCAGCAAGGGGCCAGCCATATAAAGAGACCATGTAACTACACGCAGATGGACCTGATACGCGCGATATAAAGCCACGAGCTTCCGTCAAAGACCTAAACCCTAAACCCTAAACCCTAAACCCTAAACCCTAAACCCTAAACCCTAAAACCGAAACCCTAAATCCTAAACCCTGAACCCGAAACACTGTGAGGCGGCGGCTAGGCGTGTCCTTCTCGCCAGGCCCAGCTTCGGCAGGCTCGCGGACCTGGGGCTTAGGTAGATTGCAAGCTCTAACACCCTGAACCCTAAACCCTAAAACCTAAACCCTAAACCCTAAACCCTAAACCCTAAACCTTCAAACCCTCAAACCCTCAAACCCGCAAATTCTTAACCCTGGTTGCAGGGATGGAGGGTTTGTGGTCGATAGGGGGGTGCCTGAGTTGCCGGGCTGCCGGGCTTGGGAGCTTCAGCCCTGGGTACTAAGGGTATACGGGGTACTAGATGTACTAGGGTTTACGGTTTAGGGTGTAGGGTTTAAGGTTTTGGCTTTAGGGTTTAGGGTTTCAGGGGTACTAGACGTACTAGGGGTTCTAGGGTCCCTAGGGGTTCCCAGGGCTTCTAGGGGTTCTAGGTCTAGGGCTCTAGAGTTCTAGGGCTCTAGGCTTCAGAACTTGGGGACCTTACAAGGCCAGTATCTTTAGGACCTACTAGGGTTCCAGGGTATCGGGTTGTAGGGTTTAGGGGTTTAGGGCCTTTAGGGCCTGCCAGGGTGCTAGGGTTTAGGGTTTTGGGGTCTAGGGTTTAAGGCATTAGGGTTTAGGGTAACTTGTAACTTGGGGTTTGGGGTCTTGTGCCACGGGGCCAGCTCAAAAGACTTGCAGCGTCGAATTCGTCGCTCGGGGCGAGGCAAAAACAAGGCGCGCCTCCAGCAAGTCTTTGAAGGTAGCCATCTCCTCGAGATAACTGGCGGGTGTAGGTTTTAGGGTTTAGGGTTTGGGGTTTAGGGTTCGGGTCAGCTAGGGTTTAGGGCTTAGGGTTCCCCCAAATTTCGGACTCTTCTTCCTGTCCTTCTTGTACATCTGCAGCTTTCTATAGGGGATCCAAAGATGAAGTGGAGAACTACCCTGGGGAGGTTCCGGCTTGTTCAGTGTTAAACCACTAAACCCTAAACCCTAAACCCTACAAGCCCCAAGCCCTAAGCCCTAAACCCGAAGACCCCTCAAGGTTCTTAGGGACCCCTCAAGGTTCTTAGGGATATGGCATGGCCTGCTGTGACCGTCGCGGCAGTCAAGGGAAGACTCGACTGCCAAAACCCCTGATGTCGCGAGGTAGAAGCAGGGGAGAAGAGCCCCCTAACCCAGAGGCCTCCCTCGAGCAAACCCTCATATGATCCTGCAAACTGAGTATTTAACCCTAATTAAGCCCTGAGCCCCAAACCCTTGCAGGGTAGTAATTATTTTAGGGTTCCTCCGGGTACCCTGAACTCCCTCCACCCCTGAAACCCGAACCCCCCCCCCCCCCCCCCAAAAAAAAAAAAAAGGGACCCGAAACTCCGCAGACTCTTCCTCCCAGGTCTTCTTGCCGTTGACGGCCACAAGCTCGTCGCCGGCTCGCATGGCCCTGAACAGCTTAGGGTTTAGGGTTTAGGGTTTAGGGTTTTAGGGTTTAGGATTCAGGGTCTTAGGTCTTCAGGATCTTGGGCTTGGAGTGACCAGTGGTTAGGATTTCAGGCTATTTCAGGGCATTCGAGCCCTACTCGCTGGGCATATGAGACCACGGAGTGGGCTCACAGATATCAGCGCCCGCCGTGCCTCCCTGAACTGCCCTGCTCTTTGTTCCACCTTGAAACTGCCAATGTGCTGAGCATGCAGAATTCTGAAGTACACTCTAGAAGAAGTCCCTGTTGATGCTTGCTTAGTGTATGTCAGCGTCTCACACCTGTGCCTAGTGTATTGTCAGCGTCTCCCACCTATAAACGTGCAAAAGGCCCTGCTACGCTGAATCTTGTTGCTCACGCACTCAGCACCGCGCGTGTCTGCAGGACTTCCAGCCACCACCTTGTGATCGATCCAGCCCCGCTGGCTTGGTGTGACGTGGGTTTAGGGTTTAGGGTTTAGGGTTTAGGGTTTAGGGTTTAGGGTTTAGGGTTTAGGGCTCTCTCGTGCAAGTGGAATCGTGCATGTAAGCTTCCTGTCGTTGACAGGAACAAGAGGAAACTATGCGCACTTAAGAAGAGGTGATCTGTACCTCAATTATTGGGCTTCCCTTTTTACCGTATACTGGGAGGCTGTGGAGGTCGGAGCAGTCTGTCATTTCCCACATCGGGTGCAGGGCTCAGGGCTTAGGCTTCGCGGGCGTGCCCTGTTTTTGGGCTTCCTAGAGTAAAGACTGCAGTATTGGAGGTGTACGACCTCTATTTTGGGAAACGTCCACGTCTCCACCGTGTCCATAATGCTACCGCTTTCGGAGAAAGACAGGGACTTGCACTGCATATATATATATATACATGTATACATACATACATGCATACATACATATATATATATGTATATAAGCATGTTCATGGCATGTGCGCACGCGCGAGTGATATGCGGCTGACTGCATGCCAGAACTCCTTCTTCTAATTCTACCAGTAGAGCGACTTACTCTTCGTAACATGCGCATCTTTGAATCTCCAGGCCTCCATGAGTCTGCATATCGTATGGACTTCATTTTAAATTGTCTGGTCACCTGAACCTATCTTGGTAGCCCAGCAGCCATATCATAATAAGGTTACTTTGCAAAGGAACCTGAAAACCAAAAACAGTGCAAAAGGGCGCCACTGGGCTACGAAGTCAAAGGGTCCTAAGTACCTACATAGTAGAAAGTAGGGTTTCTATAATGGGAAAAACTATTGTGGTTTGGGTAAGTGCCCCCCCATATAGGTACTTCGGACCCTTTGGGGAAGTCTCTCCCATCCGACTCCAGGAAGGCGAAGCCAAGCTGCACTTTGAACAACGCGCCGCTGCTGCTCAAACGCCGGGCGGGACTCGGTCAGGGCTTCAAGGACCAAAGGGGTCAAGGGTTGAGGCGGCTTTTTGAATCTCAACCCTAAACCCTAAACGTAAACCCTATAGGGTTTTAGGGTTGGGCCCCGAGCCCTATAAATCTCAAATGCAGCCCTATAGGCAAGTGCGACCTCAGCCCGGGGCCCAAGTGATGCCCCAAACCTGCTGCAGGGAAGCTCGGGACAAGTCCACCTCCAGGCCAGTGCGGGTTTCGGGTTTAGGGTTTAGGGTGAGATGGGGTGCATTGTCGAGTTTGGGGTTTAGGGCTTGGGGTTTCGTTGTATTCAGGATTCCACATATGATGTAGGGTCTTGTTCATAGTGTATGGTGAATATGCCATTACCAAAGGAGAACGACAATCAAGGTCGATTTCCAGGGTATTTATGGTATCTATCAATGTTATGGTGAGTGCGCAAGGGGTTCCTTCCACAGGCTGGTGAGAATATATATATATATATACACTTTTTATATATATATGTATATATATATATATATGATTCGGCCCCGGCGGCCCCCCCCCCCCCCCCCCCCCCCCCCCCCCCCCCCCCCCCCCCCCCCCCCCCCCCCCCCCTGTGGTGTGGTTGGGGGTTGGTTTTAGGGTTTTAGGGTTTAGGGTTTAGGGTTTAGGGTTTAGGGTTTTAGGGTTTTAGGGTTTTAGGGTTTTAGGGTTTAGGGTTTAGGGTTTACGGTTTAGGGTTTTAGGGTTTAGGGTTTAGGGTTTAGGGTTTAGGGTTTTCCCCGCGGATGGGGTACTAAGATGATCCCCCCCCCCCTGTGGTGTGGTTGGGGGTTGGTTTTAGGGTTAGGGTTTAGGGTTCAGGGTTTTAGGGTTTAGGGTTTAAGGTTTAAGACTTAAGGTTTAGGGTTTAGGGTTAGGGTTTAGGTTTAGGGTTTAGGGTTTAGGGTTTAGGGTTTAGGGTTTAGGGTTTAGGGTTTAGGGACCGTAGAGTAGACTTGGGGGGGGGGGGATACCATGGGGGGGGGGGGCCCAGGACGCTCGACGCTGAACCATATATATATTGTTTTTTTTTGGGGGGGAGTGTTCTTTTGCCCCTTCCTCGTAGGTCAGGGTTCATGGGTCAAGACGTAAAGATGGCTGAAACCCGAAACCCAAAACCCTCACAGCTCTTGCAGCTGGCACTCTTGAGCTGATGTGACCAAATGCATTGAAGAGGAAGAACCAAACAGACAAACACAAACATCTGAAATCTATGTATGAATGCATGTATATATATATATATTTATTTATATTTATATAGGTATAATGTGTAGGCATGCTCCACTAACTAGTCAGACTTTACATTGCAGAATTCAATCCAGAGGCTAAGGACTGTACTGGATTCATAAGGGAGGGGGGCACAAGAAGTGCACAAGTCAGTGGCAGCGACCTGCATAGTCCAACAAAAAGGGTGCTTTCGACACCTCCCCGAATAACGGCCTTTGCTTCGTGAAAACCTGTCCAACCCCGAATCACGTAAATGATTTCAAAGGTGAATGCGCCCTCCTTCCTGGGTTCATGTCCCCCTTTCTAAGGGTATAGAGGCTAGGAAAACACGAAGCCGAAACCCAGCGCTGGTCGCGCAGCCCGCACCTGGTACGTTCGCGATTCCAGCGCATGCACCGCCTGAATGGCCTGCGAGCGTGCAGATGACTCAAACTTAAAGTCAAGGGGCCACAACCTCATCTTAGTCATGCATCGTGCATGTCCTGATGGTACATGGTGCTAGTCCAGCGTCGTGCATGAGAACTGTGCGGCTTTCTGGACACAGTAGTGTGCAACTGGGCCACGGATTCGTTCTTGCGGACAAAGTCAATGCCTAAGTGGCAGTCACTCTTTCGCAAAAGCACTCGCTCTCTGGCTGAGATTCGTGGGGGGAGGTTGACCTTGAGTTTGCGGGGGATTGTAGTGATTGTAGTGCCTCAGAGAGGTTAAAAGGGACCTACACAGCAGTGAAGCTACAATGCATGATCACACTGCACAAAAAACCCTCTGAGGGCCCCTGCATCTGGAGAACATCTCATCAGCTGCCGGATTTGCCTCCCACCAGGTTTGCATGTGACATGCTTGCAGCTTCGTGAGCGTGCTGGCGCAGGCGTCCCTTAAATGCCTGACCTAAACCCTACTGGTTCATGGGGGTTCGTGGGTAGTTCTAAGGAGGGTTGTATGTAAGTATGGCGACTGTACTTGCAACCTTCTTTCGGGTACCCTAAACCCGAAACCCTAAATCCTAAACTCTAAACCCTAAACCCTACTTCGAACTACCCATGAACATTCCCGTATGGGGCCTTCTCCGGTGCCTGGACGCGCTGCGCTGCGCCTGACGTCACAAGTCCGCTGACAGGCGAGGTTTATGGGGTTCATAGGGTTTTTAGGGTTTGTAGGGTCAACAGGGTTTATAGGGTTTGTAGGGTGTAGAGGGGTTTTATAGGGCTTATCTAAAGGTTATGGGGTTATATAGGTTTCATAGGGTTGCAGGGGTTATGGGGTTTATAGGTATTTATTGGGTTTACATAGGGTTTATAGGGTTTGTAAGGTTTACAGGGTTCTTATAGGGGTTAACAAGAGTTTATGTAGGGTTTATAGGGTTTGTAGGGTTTATAGTTTATAGAGTTCATGAGGTTTATAGGGTTTACAGGACTTATACTATATACGTAGGGTTTATAGGGCTTGTAGGGTTTATGGGCTTTAGGGTTAACAGGGTCTGGGGTTGGGTGGGTTCTGGGTCTCAGGCGTCGCTTCTTCTCCCCGAGGGGCAGCTCCTCGTCCAAGATGACCTCATTTTCCCCGCTGCTTCTCCAGAGTGCCAACATCGAGAGTCTACTATAAAGGGCTGAATGATTAGGATAGGTTTTTGTTTTGGGGGGGAGAGTTCTTGTAGTAGAATATAAAGGGACCATAAGAGAATACGATTCGTAATTATTCCGACCCCTATATTGCAGGAATACAGATGGATACAGAGCATGAGGACAGCCCGTGAGAGGCGCCTTCCTCAGCTTCTCTGGAAAGCAACTCGCTTGCTGACGCAGGTCCTGGAGGCAAAGGAAAACCGACAAGACCCGAAACTGGAACCCCTAAACCCCTGAACCCCTAAACCCCTAAACCCCCTAAACCCCCTAAACCCCCTAAACCCCCTAAACCCCTAAACCCCTAAACCCTACGGTAATGGAGTCCTCCAACATCTGAGCAGCAAGCGCCGGGGACACGCCTGCGCTTGGGGGGCCACCACAAAATTAAACATCTTCTTCCTTAAGGGTAATACAGGGATTACTATATATATATATATATATATATAGAAAGAGATTTATTTTTTTGGGGGGGGTTCTTAAGCAAATGTAGTAAACCCTAAACCCAAATTTGGCCCTAAAAGTCTATGGGAAGCTACAGAGGCACGCGACACGAGGGCCTGCAGCAAAGCGTGCATGGCTGAAGACGTCGAAGAGATCACTTGGGCCTCGGAAAAGTCTCAAGCCTACCCAGAACCCAGACTGTTCGGTGCCCTCCTGCTTGCTTTCTAAATAACTTGGTAGCCCAGAAACCATATTATCATAAGGATGCCCTGTTTGGGGTTGGCTACTATATAAAGGAACCTTGAACCCAAAACAAAGGGCAAAAGGGTACCACCGGGCTACCAAGATAAACATGCAGCCAGCCTGACACGCAATCTTCTTACTGTTGGTCAATTAGTAGAGAATGAGGGAATGAGTTACCCTATGAGATCCCTTCCAAGTCTTTTTGGAGGCCTCATTCCCTCATTCCCTACTAACCAACAGTCAGTCTTTCAGCCGGCGACGCGTTTGTCCCGCCGTGACGCTCTCCAGGGCTCGGCTGAGCCATTTTGGCCTCGCCTGGTAGCGGGCTTTCAGCTGAGTGCTGCAGATGTGGGGGCTTTACGAAATCAGGGGACCCCTGTAATCGAGCCCCCAAATAGTAGGATTCCCTTAGCATGAGGAGCCCCAATAAGGAACCCTAATTTGGGAAACCACCATCTGTGACTAGGAAGCCTAGGAATGGACTCTCGGGAGTGCGAGTTTAAACCCTAAACCCTAAACCCTAAAGGAACCCTAAACCGGGGGGTCCGGGTTCCTCAGGAAGAAGAGCCGTCGCGGCTGCCAGGCTGACGATGACCTGTCACCGGACCAGAGATTGCGCGTGCGCGCGTTCCCTGTGTGGGTTTCCGAAGATAGCCGGTGCCTTTTTCGGGGCGTCCCTTTAAGGAGATAGAAACTCTATTTGGGGCATAAAAGGGGTAGCCCTATGTTGGGAAATACCCATGCGGCGTTCTGAGTCGTAACTCCCTCCCATCAACTTGTGAACGGAATAGTGCGGTACTGGGAGGTTCATGGGCAGTTTCGAGTAGGGTTTCAAGTTAGCAGTAGCCTAAATAAGGTTGCAATTACAATTACTATGCTTACAACCCTACATTTAACTACCCATGAACCTCCAAGTAGGGTTCGAGACCCCGAATCAAGTTTGGGGACAAGGTTGTTTTGGGGGGCCGGTGTCCAAGTTGATTGGGAGGGGCAGGCTGTGGGTGTTAAGGCTGAGGGCTTATATAAGGGATGCTACACCCTAAGCCTTAAGTTCGGCTGGCTGGCTCTGTCTCGCTATGCCTCTCTCTGTTTTTCCTCTTCAGAGCCGATTGCTTAGTTTCAGCTTCGATTTCCTGAAGCTGAATCTTGGGTGGGGGCCGGGAGGGAATTTCTGTTTATTCCGGATGAGTTCATTGTTGAATCGCGTCTCGGCAACATCTCGCACAACTACGAGCCACTTTCGATTCCTGAGTTTCGGCAACACGTCGCTTTTGTTTGCGAGCCACTTTGCTCATCGGAACTCAGCATCTAGTTGTTGCGCATCTGACTCCAACGATATGACATCCTACCCAAAGGGTCCTAAGTACCTATGTGGTGGACACTTACCCAAACCATAATAGTAATTCCTATTATAGAAACCCTACTTTCTACTATGTAGGTACTTAGGAACCTCATTCCTACTATAGAAACCCTACTTTCTACTATGTAGGTACTTAGGAACCTCATTCCTACTATAGAAACCCTACTTTCTACGATGTAGGTACTTAGGAACCTTTGGGCTATGACACGATCTCCGCGTCTCTGTATGCCGCGTTCCGCCATGCCTCAGCTGGTCGGTCTCGCCGGACGACCTCACAGCAAGGGGATCCGAAGTATGGGTTTAGGGTTTAGGGTTTAGGGTTTAGGGTTTAGGGTTTAGGGTTTAGGGTTTAGGGTTTAGGGTTTAGGGTTTAGGGTTTAGGGTTTAGGGTTTAGGGGGTCCTTGATTTGGGTGCCCTGCTGTATAACCCTTATATTCACAAAAGATAATAAGGGCGCACTACTTCGGATGCCTATAAGAAAGGGGCTGCACTCAGGGCCCCTTAATTCAAACCTTAGAGCAGCAGGTTCGGGACGCAGAACTCAGGTTGAATCATGGGTTCCCCTACTATGCTCCCCTCTATACTACCCCCCGCTAGGGTCCCCTTTTAATTAAGGCTATTTTCGGGATGATTAAGCAAAATTAAGGCTATTTAAGTGGGGAACCTAGCCGGGGCGGGGGGGGGGTAGTATAGAGGGGGGCAGTAGGGAAACCCATGATGGAAGCACTGTGCGGTGGTTGAGCCCTTGTTGAGGCTCTGGCCTCTGGCTGCTTTCCCCCAACATGGGCCTGCGAGACTTCTCGAGTTGAAATAGAACCATAGTCCATTTTTCTCCCATTCGGGGTCGACTCACAGATCCAAGGCCCCCATAAACCCTAAACCCTAAACCCTAAACCCTAAACCCTAAACTCCCCTGTAAACCCCAAACCCTAAACCTCCAGACATGTCTAAACCCATCCCAAAAACAGTTGGGGTGTGCTTCTAGCACGGAGGGGCCGAACTCGAACCTTGAGCTCCAACCACTCTTTGGTGATGTCATCGGCCCGGTACCTGCAACTGCCATGCAGGTTAAACCCCTAAATCCCAAACCCTAAACCCTGGTCGTGGATCAAGAAAAGCTTCAAGAGCCTCACTTCCAGCCCTGTTGATTTGAAACCTGAATTCTGCGAACCCCCCCCTCCCGGTGTCGCAAGGCTGGATGTGATTACCCAGAGACTCCAATACCCCTTAATTAAGGAATATTCCTTAAACCATGACAGGGACCCTATTATAATTTAAGGAATATTCCTTAATTAAGGGGTATTGGAGCCTCTGGGTACTCTGGCTGAAGCCTTATAAACCTTAACCCTATAAGGGTCCAGGTTCCTCATGATTCTGTACTTGGACCCAAAGTTCCTTTGTAGGAACTACATTGAGGCCCAAGTATCCGCCTTTTTGGTACATGGACCCCTTAGTGTAACCCTAAACGAAGACAAGTTCCCTAAACCCCAAACCCCAAACCCTAAACCCTACACCCTAAACCCCAAACCCTAAACCCTAAACCTCCAGAGGTCTAGTGACCTTGCTGCTGGCCTGGCTGTCGTCGGAGCGCCCTCCATGACTCTTGGGGCGGCATGCTCTACTTATTTGGCGCCTCTCTTTGGAGGGCAGGGTTTAGGATTTAGGGTTTAGGGTTTAGGGTTTAGGGTTTAGCGTTTAGGGTTTAGGGTTTAGGGTTAGAGCATGGGGAAATATTTTGGGGGGGTTAGGATTTCGTGGGGTGACGTTGAAGGCTTTCGGGGCTTGACGATGGTCTCCTGGAATCGAGTTCCGCGTCTGTGGTGCAAGGCTGCTGCAGGGCCCAAGGAAGCCTTGAGCAACAGAATGCCACAAGCTGAGCAAGCTGGGCGCTGCACTCGGTGTGCAACTCTCCTCTGAAGTCTGTTTTTTTTGGGTACGGTTCCCTATACGTGGCGCTTCGTATCATACCACGAACCCCGCGAAAGGAACATATCGATAACCTTTCCGGAAAGGCCGATGCGGCTGTGCCCTACTTGAAGGTTCATGGTACTTGCTAACCAATTCTAACTGTACTTATAACCCTACTTATAATACCCCTAAAGGGCCTTATGGGGGTTATCCCAATTATCAGTAGGGTTATAAGCCCAGTTATAATTGGTTAGTAAGTACCATAACAAGATCAGAAGCTAGCCATACACTCGCACACCAAACTCGGATCTGTGTGTCAAAACCTTAGGGACGAAGTGGACCCTAAAAGGGCTTCAGGCCCGTGTACCTTAGTAGGGGTTATAGTACTGTAGGGTCTATGACACCAATTTTAGGGTTCATTCCGTCCTCAGGGAAGTGAGTGAAGGACATCTTTTTCTTGGCTGCGCCAGCATCCAGCACATCAGGCCTGAAAACAAGGCAGCAAAGACTGCGGCTCTCAAAGGGAATCTTGGGTAGGTTTGGAGGCCCTGAAAAAATGAAATGTCCAAGGCTTTGTAAAGATTATACAAGGTAATGTTCAAACCTACGCCTAGGAAGGGTTGATTGAAGTGAGGTGCAAGGACAGCAAGGTGCTTGCCTGTGCCAGTGATTGCGGCAATCAGCCACAAGAGGCCATCCGCGAATGGAGACAATGGCGTTCGCTTCACCACCGTCCTTGTTGTGTCAGAGCAGTGATAACGTCACAAGCCTTTATGCCAAACACGACCGCCGGGTCTAAACCCTAAACCCTAAACCCTAAACCCTACACCCTAAACAGCATGTGCCTAAAGATGCCAAAATCATTCAATCCCTCGTGGACATGCAGTTCCCCAGCAGGCCTTGCAACGCTGAGGAGTGGCACATCCTCGATGTCGCGCACCACTTGTGGAGCCACCTGCAGCAAAGAAGGCCCTAAACCCTAAACCCTAAACCCTAAACCCTAAACCCCGTGCAACTTGGACCCTTTTCTCTTCTCCCTGAAGAGCCCGATGCTTCGGGGTTCTTTATCTAAGAATGATTGACCATACCCCAAACCCATACCCCTTAACCTGCAAAAGGAGAATATAAGAGAGTCTGAGGGAGGATCTTACCATACCCCCCCCCCCCAACCCAATTTCTTTACAGGGTAAGAGCTTCAACGGGATCCCTCAGAGCATTGCCTGAGAAGACCCTAAACCCTACCGCTCGAAACCCTGTAAGGGTTCAGGGTTTTAGGGTTTTAGGGTTTTAGGGTTTTAGGGTTTTAGGGTTTTAGGGTTTAGGGTTGAGGGCTTATGCCCCCTTTGCCCTCAGGTAAAGCTGCGGGTCTACACCTGATCAAACACATTTCGCATCATTCTGAATCGGCTTGCCCGAACGCTCGCCGACTTAATGCCAAAAATCTATACACCAAACACCCTAAACCCTAAACCCTATACACCAAACACCCTGAGACGGCTACGGTTTTCGGCGACTCCAGTGCCAGCTGTCCGCAGGCTGCCATCTGCGCCTCGCGAAGTCCCATATATAGGGCCTCTATGGGGTGCTTGTATGCAGACATGTATACATGTATATCTGTATACATCCATATACATATATATGGTTTGTTAAATATGTGTATATATGTATATCTTTGTGTGTTTGGTAGGTTCCCCGGCCCAGGTACCCATTCGAACACGCTAAGGGAGTCCAAACCCTAAACCCTAAGTCCTAAGTCCGAAACTCTGAATCCTTGAAGGGAATCCAAAGTAGGGAAGTACAACTTAGAGAGCTGCCCATATGGGGGTTTTCGAAAATCGGGGACCCCAATATAGACCCCCAAAAAATAGGATTCTCCTTATAATAACCCCCAATAAGGTATTTGAAATTTCGGAAACCCCATATAAGCCCCACGTCTCTCCCCAAATACGTATTAGAACTCCCATATCATAAGGACCCCCAATATAGACACCCAAATAGCAGGATTCCCCTTGAAATAAGGACCCCAATAACGCTACCCCTAATATCGTAAACCCCCATATCCCTAAACCCTAAACCCTTCTTCATTCCCTTATAGAACTGCCATACAATAAGGACCCCGATAAGGTACTTCAAATTTCGGAAACCCCCATTTAATCATAGGATCCCCAAATAAAAGGATTTTCCTTGTATTGTAGTCAGGTTCTTGAAATTTCGGAAACCCCAAACCCTAAACCCTAAACCCTAAACCCTAAACCCTAAACCCTAAACCCTAAACCCTAAACCCTAAACCCTAAACCCTAAACCCTAAACCCTAAACCCCCCATTTCATGGAGGCTTCTCTTGAGGCTTCTATGCCAAACCGATGTTAAAGGCTTCGGGCTTGGGATGGCTATGGGTTTAGGGTTTAGGGTTTAGGGTTTAGGGTTTAGGGTTTAGGGTTTAGGGTTTAGGGTTTAGGGTTTAGGGTTTAGGGTTTAGGGTTTAGGGTTTAGGGTTTAGGGTTTAGGGTTTAGAGTTTAGGGTTTAGGGTTTAGGGTTTTGCACTGCCGTCTGCAGATCTGACTTCAGCCCGAGGGCGTGTAGCAAAAGTCTTCGGGTTCGTTCCACAGTGGGCTGCAGAACGTCGGTAGTATTTTATGAAGAGCATATCAGGCGCCTGTCGGGCTGTAAAACTCGTCTAAGGCATGTTGGGTGTTCATAAGCTGTGCTAAGTTGAAGGACGTTGGAAACTCTGATCCCGCAAAGGGTCAAAATATGAGTCTGGGCTTGGAGGCTCTTGGGACGCTTGGGGGATCCAGTTTCGGGCGGGCTTTGGTTGCAACTGTCTACGCCTCCCCGAAAGCAGCACGCTTCAAGACAAATTCCTTAGCAGCCCCCACCTTTCACCCTGAAATCAATTGAAAGCCAATCTCAATTTCACAGGCAAACCAACCCAACTTAGCCACACAAGGCACAAAGCACAGTTGAAACTTCAGTCCGAACCCCCCAAAAAGCGCCCTTAACCCTCGACCCCACAACGCGAATGTGAGTCCCCGTATGATCTCTTTGCCCGTTGCTCCATCTGCCGTGGCTGTATGATTGTTTAGGGTTTAGGGTTTAGGTTGCCCCGACAGGTTCAAGGTGCAAATGAACCACTTTCATGCGGCCTTGCGCAGAGGCGATGTGAAGAGGCGTTACTCTTTACTCCATCTGTGTTGGCGGAGTCCTTGCGCGCTTGTTGGCCGCATTCTTGCCCGCGCCAGCTGCACGGAGCAAACGCACCACTTTCAAGTGGCCTTGCGCAGATGCGAGCACAAGAGGTGTTGCTCCATCTGTCGTGGCTATATCTTTGCTTGCTCCAGCTTCAAGGAGCAAACGCGCCACTTCCCAGTGGCCCTTCGCAGATGCGACCAAAAGAGGTGTTGCTCCATTTGTCCCGGCTGCATCCTTGCCCGCACCAGCTGCAAGGAGCAAACGCACCACTTCCAAGTGGCCATTCTGAGATGCGAGGTGAAGAGGCGTTGCTCCCTCTGGCGTGGCTAGATCTTTGCCTGCGCCAGCTTCAAGGAGCAAACGCGCCACTTCCAAGTGGCCATTCTCAGATGCGACGTGAAGAGGTGTTGCTCCATGTGTGTTGGTTGCATCCTTGCCCGCGCCAGCTTCAAGGAGCAAACGTGCCACTTCCAAGTGGCCATTCTGAGATGCCAGGTGAAGAGGTGTTGATCCATATGTCGAGGGAATATCTTTGCTTGCGCCAGCTTCAAGGAGCAAACGTGCCACTTCCAAGTGGCCTTGCATAGATGCGAGGTGAAGAGGTGTTGCTCCATCTGTGAGGGTTGCATCCTTGCCCGCGCCAGCTTCAAGGAGCAAACGTGCCACTTCCAAGTGGCCTTGCGCAGATGCGAGCACAAGAGGTGTTGCTCCATCTGTCGTGGCCATATCTTTGCTTGCGCCAGATTCAAGGAGCAAATGTGCCACTTGCAAGTGGCCATTCTGAGATGCGAGGTGAAGAGGTGTTGCTCCATCTTGGCAGGCTGCATCCTTGCCCGCGCCAGCTTCAAGGAGCAAACGTGCCACTTCCCAGTGGCCAATCTGAGATGCGAGGTGAAGAGGTGTTGATCCATATTTCGTGAGTGTATCTTTGCTTGCACCAGCTTCAAGGAGCAAACGTGCCACTTCCAAGTGGCCATGCGTACATGCAAGGTGAAGAGGTGTTGATCCATTTGTCGTGGGTATATCTTTGCTTGCGCCAGCTTCAAGAAGCAAACGCGCCACTTCCAAGTGGCCTTGCGCAGATGCGAGGTGAAGAGGTGTTGCTCCATCTGTCGTGGCCATATCTTTGCTTGCGCCAGATTCAAGGAGCAAACGTGCCACTTCCCAGTGGCCATTCTGAGATGCGAGGTGAAGAGGTGTTGCTCCATCTTGGCAGGCTGCATCCGTGCCCGCGCCAGCTTCAAGGAGCAAACGTGCCACTTCCAAGAGGCCATCGTGAGATGCCACGTGCAAGGCTGCGATGCCCCGCGCATTCGCCAGGCTCGGGTCTTGAGGACGTTGCAAGATGTTTTCTATTTGACTCGTGTCATTTGCTTCTACTGCTTGGAGCAACTTGTCTATATGATCGCCAGGAGTCTCTGCAAAGCCCAACAACAATAACTGCAATCGGCATGGCGCATCTAAAGCTGCCTCGTCAGGCAGTATCTGCCCATCTTCT